CCTGCCCCGGCGCCCGCAGGTGGGCCCCGGGGACACCCCGAAGGTGGGCCAGATGCTGATGGGGCCCTGGATGGGGCCCGTGTCCCTGAGCCGTGCTGCTCACACCCTCCAGAGCCTCCGTTTCTGCATATTTTGTGCGGGCGGCTGCACACATTCCTTTTTTATTTTTATTTTTTTAAATATATTTTTATTGATTTCAGAGAGAAAGGGAGAAGGAGAGAGAGAAACAACAATGATGAGAGAGGATCATCGAGTGGCTGCCTCCTGAAGGTCCCTCACTGGGGATCGAGCCCACAACCCGGGCATGTGCCCTTGACCACATGCCCTTGACTGGAATCGAACCCGGGACCCTTCAGTCTGCGGGCTGATGCTCCATCCACTGAGCCACACCAAAGGGCGCGGCTGCACACTTTTAAGTCACGTCACCTAAAGCTCTCTAATCCGAAGATCTATGGTGTTGTTTTTTTATCAGTTTTTTAAAATATATTTTTACTGATTTCAGAGAGGAAGGGAGAGGGAGAGAGAGAAACATCCATGATGAGAGAGAACCGTGGATCAGCTGCCTCCTGCACACCCCACCCTGGGGATGGAGCTCGCCATCCGGGCATGTGCCCCGACCGGGAATCGAACCGGCCATCTGGACATGTGCCCCGACCGGGAATCGAACCCTGGTTCATGGGTTGACACTCAATCACTGAGCCACGCCGGCCGGGCCTGAGCCCCTGCGGTGACCAGCGGGGACACAGGCAGACGGTGCAGCTAAAATGAGTGAGCACACCCGGCCCTGCCTGTGGGCGGACGGACAGCACGCCCTCCAGGCACACCCGCCCTCGCAGGCCTGGGTGGCAGGCCTGGGTGAGGAGGGAGCGTGCAGCAGGTGTCGCATGAGATTGTTTGGCTCCGGTCTCCTGAGCAGGTATGAGCACGTGTGCTTGGTGCGGAGCCGGAGGCGTAAACGTCTGGTTACAAGTCTGAAGGTCAAAGCCGGCAGATCAGCGAGGCATCCTCAGGGCTACACGTGTGCAAACAGGGAGCCAAGCAGCAGCTACATGTGTGCAAACAGGGAA